ATCAGTAATAAAGTATAATACAGTATTGATCATATTTAAAAATAGTAGTTATGTTAATACAAAATGTTCATGTATAAACATAAAAATGTATAATCTTTAAAAATTATAATACAGTAATAATGTATAATACAAACTGTCATGAAAAAAACGTAAAATGATAATACAGTAATAATGTTAAAAAAACGTATGTATAAAAACAGTAAAAATGTAAATACAATAGATATGAAAAAACCGTAATAATGTGAATACAGTAATAAAAGTATAAAACTTTAACGTGTAAATACATAATGTTTAAAAACAATACTGTCATGTATAAAACAGTAAAAATTATAATACAGTAATAATGATAAAACAGAATAATGATAAAACAGTAATAAGTATAAACAATAAAATGATAATACAGTAATAAGTTAATAAAATACTGATCATGTAAAATACGAATTTTTTAAAAAGTAAAATGTATATACGTAAAAATGTTTAAATAAATACTGATCATGTTAAAAACAAAAAATGTATAAAACAGTAAAGTTAAAATAGTATTGAACATGTAAATACAGTAATAAAGTAAAACAAAATTTTTTCATGTTAAACAGTAAAATGTTAAAAAAGTAAAAATGATAAAACAGTACGATCATGAATAATCGAATAATGTTAATACAGTATTTATGTGTATAATAGAGTAATAAAGTATAAAACTAATATGTAAAACAGTATTGATCGTGTTTTACCGTAATAATGTAAATACAGTACTGATCTGAAAAATACGTATAAGTATAATACAGTATTGATCATGTTATTACAGTAATAAGGAAAAAACATAGATCATGTATAATACGTAATAATGTATAATACAGTAAAAAATGTATAATACAGTACTGATCATGATAAAAGTAATATGTATAATACAGTATTTATCGTGTATAAAAAGTATTTTAAAGTTTTAAAACATAAAAAATGTATAAAACAGTATTGTCTGTATAAAAGTGTAATGTATAATACAGTTTGATCATGAAAAAAAGTAATAATGTATAATAAGTATAATGTATAATAAGTAATAATGAAATACTAAAATGATTTTCAGTAATAAGAATAAACAGTAAAAATTATAATACAATATGAAAAGTATAAAACAGTAATAATGTAAATTTCAGTCATCATGTATAATACAGTAAAAATGTTAAAACAATACTGACATGTTTAAACGTAAAAATTATAAACGTAATAATGTATAATACATATGATATGTAAAACGTAATAATGTTAAGACGTAATAAAGTATAATACAGTAATAATGATAATCAATAGTCAGTTAAAACAGTAAAAATGTTAAACAGTAAAATGTTAATACGTAATAATGATAATACAGAAAAATGATAATACAATACTGATATGTAAATACGTAATAAGTAAATACAATACTGATCTGTATAAAACAGTAATAATGTATAAAACATAATAAAGTATAATCATACTGTCATGTTAATACAGTAAAAGGATAAAAAGTATTGATCGTGATAATAAAAAAGTTAATACAGTAATAATGAAAACAGATTTATCGTGTATAATACAGTAATAAAGTATAAAACAGTATATCATGTATAAACAGTAAAAATGTTAATACAGTAATAATGTATAATCAGTAATAAGTATAAAACAGTAATAAAGTATAAAACAGTTTAAAAAATGTATAAACAATCTGACATGTATAATACAGTAATAATTAAATACGTACTGATTGTATAATACAGTAAATGTATATACAATACTGATCTGTTAAAACAGTTTAAAAAGTATAATAAGTAATAATTATAATACAGTATGAAATCATGTATAATACAGAATAAGATAATCAGTAATAAAGTATAATCAATATTGATCATGTATAATACGTAATAATGTATAAACCGTAAAAAGTTAAATACAGTACTGATCATTATAATACATAAAATGTATAATACAGTAATAATGTAAATAAATAAGACTGTTAATACAGAAAAGTTAATCCGTAATAATGTATAATACTACGATCAGTATAATACAGTAATAAGTATAATACAGTAATAAAGTAAAATACGTAATAATGTATAATACGTAAAAAGGAAATACAGTAATAATGTATAATACAGAAAAATGATAATACAAAATATATGATAATCGTAAAAATGTAAATACGTATGATCATGTATAAAAACAGTAATAATGTATAAAACAATTGATATGTATAAAAACAGTAATAATGTATAAAACAGTAATAATGTATAATACAGTACTGATATGTTAATTCAGTAAAAATGTATAAACGTAAAATGTATAATACTAATTTGTATTTTACAAACTGATATGTTAATACGAAAAAATGAAATACATAATTGTATAATACAGTAGATCAGTTAATACAGTATAAAGTTAATACAGTAAAATGTTTACAGAATAATGATAATACAATACTGATCTGTATAATCAGTAATAAGTTAATAAAAACGTCATGTATAATACGTAATAATGTATAATACAGTAATAAAGTATAATACAGTAAAATTATATACAGTAATAAGTAAATACGTTAAATGTATAATTAAATATGATTTATAAACAGTAATAATGTTAATACAATACTGATATGATAAAAACAGAAAAGTTAAACATAATAATGTAAATACAGTACTATCATGTATAATACATAATAATGTATAATACAGTAATAATGTAAATACGTAATAAAGTATAATACAGTATAAAGTATAATACAGAATAATGATAATCAGTACTGTATGTATATTTCAGTAATAATGTTAATAAAGTACGATCAGTATAATACAGTAATAAAGTATAAAACAGATGATCTGTAAATACATAATAATGTAAATACAGATGATATGTATAATACAAAAATAATGATAAAACAGTACTTATCAAAATTAAACGAATAAGTATAATCTATTGACTGTTTTTTTCGTAATAATGTAAATACAGTATGATCTGTATAATACATAATAATGTTTTTACAGTTCTGATCATGTATAAACAGTAAAAATGTAAATCAGTATTGATCAGTATAAAACATACGTAAGTTTAAAAACGTAGAAAGTTTAAGTAATAGTAAATACAGTATTGATATTTAATAAGACTGATAAAAAATTTTAATACAGTATGTCATGTAAAATACAGTAATAATGTATAATACAGTAATAATGTATATAAATACTGTCATGTATAACAGTAATAATGTATAATACAGTACTGATCATGTATAATACAGTAATAATGTATAATACAGTACTGATCATGTATAATACAGTAATAATGTATAATACAGTACTGATCATGTATAATACAGTAATAATGTATAATACAGTACTGATCATGTATAATACGTAAAAATGATAAAACGTATTGATCATGTATAATACAGTATGTAATTATAACAGTACTGATATGTAAATACGTATAAGTATAATACTAAAAAATGTATTACAATACGTCATGTATAATACAGTAATAATGTATAAACATAAGATCAGTATAATACAGTAATAATGTATAATCGTTTGGATAATACAGTAATAATGTTAATACAGTACTGATCATGTATAACGTAATAATGAAAAATACAGTACTGTCATTTTTAATACAGTAATAATGTATAATACAATAGTGATCATATACACAACCTCGGTATTAATCACAAATATACACTTACTCTGGAACAGGTTAATGTGTATGTATACTGGGAGGTGTATATCAATTTGTATACATTAGGTATAATGTTTATTTCCAGATTCTTGACAGGTTATGAACAGGTTTAAGTATCCTTAATAACCCTTTGAGTAATTTGTTGGTCTTAAAACCCCGTTTAACCCGTCAAACCAAAAGTGTATTTCAATAAAGTGTAAAAACAAATGTGTATATATACCAAAAGTGTAATAGCCCCGTAAGGGATTTATATATATTATATATATATATATATATATATATATATATATATATAAATTTTATATATAATATATATATATCAGAAAAACTTTTTAGAAAGATAAAATGTTGTATGTTAAGGTCAGTCAGTAGATGAGTTCCCCACTGGATTATTCTCAACCCCAGCTGGGGGTGCTGTGGCACTGTCTAGCATGTGGCACTGGCTAGAGTGTGGCTCTGTATAACAGTGTGGCACTGTGCTAGCAGTGTGGAGTGTATACGTGTGGGACTGTCCCAAGTGGGCATGTACTAGAGGTGGGCTGTACACGGTGGCACGTATACATTGTGGCACTGTATCAGTGTGGCATGTATAGCAGTGGCTCGTACTAAAAGTGTGGACTGTGTAGCGTGTGGCACTGTCTACGTGTGGCAGCACCCCGTTTGCAGTGTGTCAGTGTGGCATGTAAGCAGTGTGGGGGTGTACTAGCTGAGGGACTGTTTTGCGGTGGCAGTGTACTAGTGTGGCCTGTACTAGCATGTGGACTTACTACAGTGTGCCCCGTACTAGCAGTGTGGGGCTGTACTAGCATGTGGCCTGTCAGCGGTGGGGCCCGTTAGCTTGGCACTGTAATAGCGTGTGGCAGTGTATGGGGCATTCTGCAGTGGGCTCGTACTAGCAGGTGGCATATACTGGCAGTGTATTTTGTGGCACTGTACAGCATGTGGGCTGTTGCAGTGTGGCGCGTAAAGCAGGTGGCACTGTACTAGCAGTGTGGCAGTTTTTCTAGCAGGTGGCACGTGCTAGCGTGTGGCGCGTACTAGCGTGTGGCACTGTACTAGCGGGCCCGGTGGCACTGGACTACCGTGTGGCTCGTAAACAGTGTGGCACTATACTTTCAGTGTACCATGTGGAGTACTAACTGTGGCACTTATAAGGGTGCCCGTCACGGTGGGGCTTACTAGCTGTGGCCTGTTAGCAGTGTGGGCCCGTACTAGCATGGGCCCCCACTGTACTAGCAGTGTGGACTGTATAGTGTGGCACGATAGCAGTGTGGTCTTCTAGCTGTGGCCTATACTGGAGGTTTACAATGGGGGCACGTACTAGCAGTGTGGCATGTCTAGCGGTGCCCCTGTACTACATGTGGCGCTGTAAACCCGTGTGGCATGTACACGTGTGGCAGTGTACTAGGTGGCACTGTACTAGAGTGTGGCTCTTACTAGCATGTGGCCTGAAGCAGTTGGCAGTGTACCAATGGGCACTGTCTTCAGTGTAGCTCTGTACTACAGGTGGCACCATATGGGCAGTGTCCACGTGGGATTGTACTAACATTTGGCATTTAGCAGGGGGGCCCCGTACTCATGGGCCCTGAATAGCCCCTGTGGACTGTACTACGTGAGGCTGTATAGCAGTTTGGGCCCGTACTAGCTGTGGGAGTGTACTAGTGTGGCACTGTAACAGTGTGGCTCTAACTAGCAGTGTGGCCTATTGGCAGTGTACCAGTGTGGGCTGTACTAGCATGTGGGGAGTATACGTGTCCACTGTACTACGTGTGGCCCCGTCTAGCAGTGTGGCACGTACTGCAGTTGGGAGGTACTGTTTGGGCCACTGTACAGCAGTGTGGCTCTGTTGCAGTGGGCACATACGGCGGGACAGTGTGGCACTGTAATAGCAGTGTGACGCTTACTAGCAGTGTGGCACTGCCCCCGTGTTGCAGTGTGTCGCGTGGCCTTATAGCAGTGTGGGGGGCGTATAGCGTGTGGCTTGTACGCAGTGGCAGTTTTGTGTGGACTGTGCTGCAGTGTGGCTCTGTACTAGCAGTGTGGACTTACTGGAGGTTTTCATGTGGCACTGTATAGCAGTGGCGCTGTCTAGCGTGTGGGACTGCCCAGTGTGGGTTGTACCGTGTGGGACTGTCCCGCTGTGGGTACTGTAATGTGTGGATTGTACCATTCTGGCCTGTACCATGTGGCGCTCTATAGCATGTGGCATTGTACCCGTGTGGCACTGTACCAGTGGGCAAGACTAGCAGTGCGGTACTGTGCTAGCCTGTGGATTAATAGCAATTTTGGGACTGTTCCGTGTGGCACTGACAACATGTGGCACTGTAAATACCGGGCACTGTACTAGCAATTGGCATGTACTACAATTGGCACGTGCAGTGTGGCACGTACTCCAGTTGGTACTGTATTACCGTAGGATGTTTCCGTGTGCACTGTATACCTGTGGCACTGTAGTAAAAAGTGTGGGATTGACTAAAGGTGGGACTGTACCACCAGTGTGGGATGTATTACCATGTGACCGTATCCATTTTTGCCTGGTTTCTACAGTGTGGGCCCGTACTACCAGTTGACACGTTTTACCCGTGTGGGAAATTTTACCGTGTGGCCTGACTACCCGTGTGACACTGTATTTCCCGTGTGGCCTGTTACCAGGTGGCACAGTACTATAGTGTGGCACTGTATACCCTGTGGGGCCCTGTATACCCGTGTGGCACGTTACCAGGTGGCACTGTATATCATGTGGCACTGATAAGGGAATTATTGCCAGTGTGGCCGTATTTCCAGTGTGGACTGTATTACCGTTTTGGCATTGTATTATCAGTGTGCACTGTATTTCCTGTGACCTGTTTACCAGTGGGCTCTTATACCAGTTGGCCTGTTATCAGTGTGGCCTGTTCAGTGGGCATGTCCCCCGGTGGCATGCTACCGTGTGGCACTGTAACAGTGTGGCACTGCACACCCGTGCGGCCTCTATTACCGTGCGTCACTGTTTCTACCGTGTAGCACTGTCCATTGGG